TTATCTTTTCAATGTGAGATTCTTAACACAACACTCGGTTCTATATACTCTTCAAAGWGTGATTTAATTTTGGAGTACTTCTCTATCAAATAATTGGGCCAAAAGGGCAGTTATAGTACTTTGACTTTTTCAAAATTTCTTTTATGTTACTCCCAAACACAATGATATTAAGAGAAAAATAATTTCGCATAGAAAAAAGTATTTTTGGCCATGCCAAAACAACACTCTCAAATAAGGTTTATTATATTACATATATTTTTTTCAGTTTATAAAAAGTAAATAATTTGGCTAAAAAGTTGAGACATAAGAGCACCCACCTTGTGTACCATGAGGGAGAAGCAAAGTGTGCTATTTTGGACTAATGCTGACATTGATGATCTTGTGGATGAACAAAGAGTTTTTTGAGACAATTTAAAAGCTYAGGGTTAAAATAAAAATTTTGAAACTCTTGGCCATAACTGAAATTGATAATAGGAACATTTTATTTGACCTATATAATACTTCAATCATACCAAATATTTTGATGTAACAAACTTTATTTCTTGGTAATTTTAATGTTTCAAAGTCAAACGAAGAATTGAAGGAGAAAAATCCAATGCCATGACCAATATAAGTTTGGAAAGGAAAAATATATGTTGGCAGGTGATATGGACAATCCGACCAATTAGAAGTCGACACATGGCATACGACATGACACTTTGTTGATATGGCAGATAATGTAGCATCTAGCTAGCAAATCATAGTGACGTGGTAGTGATGTAGCAGTAAAATGACATCAACCATTTTGGTGAGTGGTGGATGATGTCGAAGAATCATGTGGTGTCATGACACATTCAAATAAATTCAAATTTTACCTTCACTTCCTCAATTTTCCTTGATCTCCACAAATCTCACCCAATCTACAAATTTTCTCAATCTCCGTCAATTTTTCTAATCCACAATCTTCTTTTTTTTCTCTACCTTATCTCTACTTTTAATCTCCATCGTTCATTCCTTTTTAGTCTAAATCTAATGGCCAAATTTCATCATCGCCACCAAATTCATCTTCTTCCACACACAAATTATTGAAGCAAAAATCATATTTCTCTTCTTCAATTTTTTTGCCCTCTCTCTCTTTTTTTTAGAGATATATTAGTGTGTTATTTTTAGTCATTACTTTAGTACGAAATTTGTAAATCCACCTTAGTAGAGTATTTCATTTTTTATTGTTTATTTTTACATCATTTGAGATTTTGTATATTAAGGTGTGGGTGCACCAATGGATCGTGAGAGTGATTTGACCTTGAACCAGTAATAAAGGTTGTAGTGGTTTGATCTTCAACTCAGTAAAAAAGATAGGTGTAGTTTGGATCTTGAACCTGCAAAAAGATCAATATGAATTTACTCTTAAGCTTGAAAAAAGAGTAATCCATCGGGTTGGTTCTCACCCGTAAGAGAGACGATGCAGTAAAAATATATCCAAATAGAAGTCTTGGGGAGTGAAATAGGAATTTCCGAACAACTATATAAATTTATGGTGTCATTTTTTTTCTTTGTACTATTTTAATTCCTACATTTAAATTACGTTCACAATTGCTGGTTATTCTTGTCTTCTTTTTTAAAATAAAAAAGTTGGTACGCAATTCTATCCACCCCTCTAGTGTTGTCGGACGATTCAATCGTTCGCAAACTTTTACCCTTTCTTTTAGTTCAAGATGAGGGCCCAGTGGCGAATTGAGAATTTTAGATGGGGCACAAATTCATATAAATATAATAGAAAAATATGAATTTTAATTCTGGATGGTGTGTATCAGTCTACACCTTATACTTTGGATAAGTGTTGCAATCTTCATCTTACACTTTAAAAAATATGGCAAATTTATATTTAGATAGATTTTCATTTGAAAAGAATAATTCTCATATGCGTCAAATGATTTAGAAACCATATTTTTGGTATGAAGTTGATAGAATTTAAGATAAAAACGATATTAGAGTTGGTCTTTTTAAACTTAAATTTGTAAGTTTGACAAAGTTATTTACATGTGAATTTTGTGTATTAACCCAACTTAATTTGAGAAACTTGATTTTTATTAATCTAGTTTGTGTTTTGTGATTTTTTTTTAAAATTAACAGACAAATTAGCAGAAATTGGATATAAGATAAAAATTACAGTAGTTATCTAAGTTTAAGATCAATTTGATGAAATTAAAAGTTTAGGGTGAAAATTAATGCAATTTACCCAACTTAGAGATGAAAGGATAATTTTTTTTTTTCAAATTAATCTAGGATGCATTTATTATAAATGTTAAGATTATGTAATATGGAAACTAAAAATATAATAAATAATAATGTATGATATTAGTTTTTTTAGTATGAGTACTACAGATTTTTGTCAAATAACTATTAAAAATTATGACTTTGTATATCAAGCTTACGTTGRAAGTGAAAAATTAGAGAATTCAAAAAAGAAAAAAAAAAGTCGAAAAAGGTGGAAAATATGCAAAGCAAAATATAGTTTTTCATGAGAAAAACATCCATTTTTTAAAAATATTTAAATTATCACAATCAAAGAAAGCATAATTAAATAGTTCCTAAATAAACAAATAAAAATCATGGAAAAACTTGACCCACCATTATTATGTTATTCACTTAAAAGAAACATGCCTATGATGCTGACAAAACATGCTTGTTTACCAACAAGGCTAGGTTTTAAACCTAAAAAAAAACATAATAAAAATAATAAAAAGTAAAAAAATAAAAAATAAAAAGAAAAAAACTAGGCTCTAGTGTAATCCTATCATTATTGGTCCTCAAACCTAACTTAAATTTAAAATCTAAAATGAACCTAATTAAAATTTGGACAATCATTGACGCTCCCCCATAGTTTTAGTGGATATTCATAAAGGTGCTATTATATTCACATATAAAAAGTTATTCAAAATACAAAATTGAGAGTATCTTTTTTTAGTACAACCGATGTGAGGTGGGAATTTGAAACTTCAATCTAAAACGTAAAAACTATAACTATTAAAGCAAGAGTCTAACTTGATTATATATATATATATATATATATATATATATATATATATATATATTATGGCATTTGATTGAATAGGTAAAAGTGATTTTAGAGATTATAAAATCATTAAAAAGCAATTCTAAAGTATTTCAAAAACGTTTTCAAAAATTTTTATTTCCGTCACATAAATTTCAATTTTGATTTCGATAAATTCCTACCATTAACGTTATATTTCAATATTATTATGACAAACTGATTGATTTGGTATGATGTGGCATAAAGATTTCGTCCTACTCCTAATAAAACAAGGACAAGTGGACTAAAAAATTCAAAGGAAGGTAGAAAAAATATATTCTAAACTGATTGTTTAGCTAGGTCGTATTATTATTATATACAACGTATATACTTATTGGTACTAATAGTTATCTTGTTAGGTCATGTCAGCCAAAACAAAAATAGTTCAACAGTAATTGGCATATAGTTACAACCATGAGGTTGCAAATTCGAATTCCCTTCCCAACATGTTGTAATAAAAAAAATATTAAATCATGTTCAATTTTAAAACATCAAAGATTGCGAGTTTAAATGGGTTAATATATATTTGTGAATATCATGATGATATGTTGAAAGGAAATTTGTTGAATTGGATGTATGAACCATCCACCCCTTGATTACAAAAACACCAACATTGATTGTGACTTGACAAAGCCTTTTCCAATGGAAGAGACCAATTTAATTCCAACTTGAAAAATTTATAATGGAAGAGAATCACAATTTCACAAAGAAAGGCCAACCATGTAAAAGTTGCACATAAAGTTCCAAATATACCCTTAATAAGGGGAGGGTAAAAATGGAACATTTAAATCCCAAAAGGATGCATAAATGTTTTCACCAAGCCCATCCTCTATTTTCCAAATGAGTAGCCAGAAACTTTACCAAAAGAGAGAGGGGAAAAGAATAACTCTTTTGGAAAACTATTTAATATAATAGGATCAAAACATTTGTGTTTTTATCTCTTTAGAATTTTTTCTCAATTATATAATACTTATTTTTTGGGGGACAATAACAAATTTTGTTACTTGATTGGTGTTCGTTTGGTAATGTTTTCGTTTCTTGTTTTTCGTTTGTGCTCGTTTTAAATTTTAATTAACATAAATGTATAGTAACCATTTATGTTTCTCATGTCATTTTTAAGAAATGTTTTCAAAATTGCGGTAGAAATTCTAAAAACAACAGAATCAAATTTTTTGTTTTTTTTCTCCATTTTCAATATTATTCAAAATATAAATAAAAACATTATTTTATCGTGCATAATAATTGAAAAAATTATTTCTTATAAAAAAATTATTTTTTTTAATTTAAAAATTAAAATTTCTATAATAATTAATACTAAATATTAAAATGTAACACCCCTTAATATTTATAGGATTGCTTATCCACTACTCACCTCACCTTATGTGATTAGAATATATACGTGCTCACATGTTAACACGTTACTATACATACTCCAAACTACGTTATAAATTTGTTTAAAGAGAAACAATTATAAGTATATTAACATGATTATTATTTTACATATGAAGGACTAATTAAAATAGACATTTAGTGAGTATACAACAATTGACATATACTCAACTCATTCCTTTGAGATTGGAGATTAAAATTCTCATACCCCAATTTGTTGTACTAAAAAAAATAGACATTTCAAAATTTAGGGATCAAAATGGAACAACCGTATTAAGTGGACTCGACGAGAATGAAGTAGAAGTGTTCATAGATCGGTTTTAGAACCATCAAACCCACTTAATATCATTCTCCATCCCAAAAAGATCTCCATAATATTGGTGAAGGATCATTGTGGGAAGAATTTTTGGTGGTCGGATTCTCCGATGAGAAACTTTTCCTATTGAGAAAATTTTGATTACAAGAAAAGCTTATACCATTCGATAAAAGTTAAAGAAACAAATCAGACATATTTTAAAGTTCAAGAACCAAAACAAGATTTAAACGGAAAGAAACATAACCCAACTAAAAGGGAATATTCTAACTTTATACATTACAAAAGAGAAATACATTGGGATTTTGACCAATTAGTCCCTAGCTAGGTTGTAAAGTTCTTCAAGGGGTGTGATTGCAATTATTATTAAGTGGGTACTTAATTGCATTTAGGTCCAACTTCCTAAGGGCAGCTTTAGCAAGATCAATGCCACAAATATCAGAGAGTCTGACCAAATAGAGAAGCACATCAGAAAGCTCTTCCCCCAAATGCTCTTTCTCCTCCTCCTTCCACTCTGGCAGTCCCTTTGCCACCTCCCCTTTCCATTGGAATATTTCTGACAATTCTCCCACTTCTCCCACCTGTCAAAAAAACCACTTGTAAATAACCTTACCTAAAGTGCTTCAAAAACTACTTTAGAGCGTGTTTGGAAATTACTTTTGTCATTGTCAAAATCACTTCCCCTTCCATTGACAATTTTTTTGACAAATAAAAAAAAATTTGATTTTAAGAAATCTAAAATCATTTTAGATTGATTTTTAAGGTATCACTTGCATGATAATTTTGAAAAATCAATTAAACATAAATCTCATTTTTCAAAATCATTTCTTGTACCATCACTCTGGAACACACATCTTTAGAGTGCCTTCCTTTCAAACACTTGAGCCCGACTTCTAGATTTGTATGTTGCTTAAATAAAACTACTTTAGAGTGCTTTCCTCTCAAGCACTTGAGCCTGAGCCTATGACTTAAGCTCCTACTCATTTTCTGATGTGTTGGCTGTTTTTAGAATTAGGAATATTAGTAGGACGACTTGTAGATTTGTATTTTGTTTCCTTGGACAGCTTTTAAGATAATGCTTTGGACTATTCTATAAATATTTTGAGAGGAAGGACTTTTCGGCCCCGTGAAAAGCACACCACACATGGGCTCTGTCTCAAATCGTGATGTGTGACATATTTTAACATGTGTTTTTATATTTTTATTTTTCGTTTCATAACGGTTATATGGTTTGTTTTAAAAGTTACTTTTTTTCTTTTTTTAATAATGGTTTTAGGACATAAAAGTAATGAAATAAGTAAAGTAAAATCTATCGTTACTAAAAGTAGATTCGGAATTTTAAAATTATATAAGAAATAAATATGTAAAAAAAGTTCGATTCACAACTATCTCACTTCCTTTATCCTTCCTTTTTTACCTTGTTTAATTCCTACTTCAAATTTATGCTAACCCACTAAGCTATATGTCATGTCATATAAGTTTATCATCAGAAAATTTCAATATCCACCAAGGTATAATTAAAAAGTACTTAAATTTTCGTGATTAATTTGAAACTTTTTGAATGATAGAGACTAAATTTCAACATCCACGAAGGTATATAATATATATATATATATATATATATATATATGTATGTGTGGATTTAAATAAATAAAAATAAATAATCTAATAAAATTATAATTTAAGAGAATGAAAATATTTTTAAATAATTTAGATATTGGATATTAAATTTATAAAAAAATGGATAATTGAAAATTGAAAATAAAGGAGTCAGGCGGAAAATAAAGGATAATTGAAAAAGTTATGAGGCGGCTTGACAAGGTTTCTATTTCTTTCCCATTTCCAATTTTGTTAAAAAAAAAAAAAAATTTATGTTTGTTATTTTTCATTTTCCTTAGAAGACTAAAATTGTATACAAATTTTACAAATAATAAAAATAACTTTCTTATTTCTTATTTTTCATTCTCATTTTTAATTTGTTATAAAAACACATAAATAGTATATAACTTCCTCGGTATCAATCACAACTAATAAGTAATTTATCTTTACAAGATATATATTTCTTTTATTTAAGAAACATAAACAAAAAACCAGGACATTACCAACGAAACAGACAGGTTCTATACGTTTTTATCATTAAGTTCGTGTTGGCAAAAAAAAGTAGATGTCGTTTACCGTCGAAGAATGGTCGGTATTTTAAAGTCGATGAAACTATGGAAGTGTGAGGGAGAGCGCATACCAGAGCAAGAAGGAGGTTTCTGGGACTATGGAAGCGATCCCAATTCCTTTGTTGAGAAAATTCCGCCATTTTTTTCCTCAGAAGCTCCAAACTCACACTATTTCCTTCTTCATTTCCATTTCCAGTCATCTTCTTCTCTAAAACTCTGCCTCTCTTCTGTACCCTCTTCATCCTCTTTATACACGTCTCCGCCACCGGCTATTGCCGGTCATGGGCTTCGATGGACCGGCACGTGTCCGTTCCCATGGATTTTCTCCAGGATCCTTGGTCGCCCTCGTGTTCTTCTGGGACCCACTTCTCTTTTTAATAAAATATATATAATTTTAAAATGTAATGTTTTTAATTTATTTATAAAAAAAAATAGAGAAAAAAAAAGAAGGTACTGTGCTTTCACACCTTGACGAGCGACGCAAAGAAATATGTGAGAGTGAGAGACGACGTCGTTTGGTTGAAGAGGAAGTGAGAGGGACAGATGGGGATAGGAAAATGGATTGCAATTTCTATTGAAGTTGACTAATTCTTCTATTGGTGGAATATCACCATTAATGTTTTCCGTTTCAATAGTTTGAATTTTGACCATATTTTTGTTTTTTGTTTTTTTGGGATACGTGTAAGAGTTTTCTACTTTTGACTTAATTATAGGCTTCAAGTTAGTTACGATAATGGTAAGATTCTCTACTAAAATATCAGTTATTGTATTTGAAATTTCTTAAGAGATTAATGAAGTTCTTATTGAATAGTTTGATGATAAGGTAGGACTTTTGAATGTAAAATGATGAGCTAAGAGAAATAGTTTAGATGAATGTATGGTGATCAATGCAAAGCTTACTAATTTAAGTTCGGGCTAGGTCAAGTCTAGCCTAAGCTATTCTTACACTTATTCCGATTATTCTCAAAACAATCTTCTTTTGTGGTTTTTCGGAATCTTTTGTTGATCATTTCGTCATTTGCTTTTTACTAAATCAACTAATGCTCTTTTTGATGTACTAGCACCACTTACACATTTCGTTCGAAATTCTACTTCAATGGTTATAAGGGCAAATAATTGTATTTTACTAATTATTTGAAGAGTTGTTGTAGGATACAAGGGAAGAGTATGATGCTCTAATTCGAAATGAATGAGACGATCAAGAAATTCCTCCCTGAACCCCGTATGAGACTTGGGATTTGGTTCTATAGCTTCTTGTAATAGGCTTTAATGGGTCTTTTAAGACAAAAAAGAATTTTGATAGTTCTATATTTAGATACAAGATACATCTTGTAGCTAAAGAATTTCATCAAACAGTCAAAGCTATTCTTGGTAAATAAATATTTGAAGAAGAAATGAGTTCTCAAAAGAATGAATTTCATTCATCTTATTCTCAGTCAAAGCTAAGTACAGAGACTGACATATAGGCTTTGAGTTTCTTAATAGAAGTTAGATAGCCAAAAACAGATTTAACAGCCACTAACCAAGTCATTCTAACAACCTGTACTTACTAATACAAAATGATGATAACTAAAATTACAAATCAATGATTGATATTAACATTGGTTAATTGATCATTCTTTTAGTCCAGATGTAACTCAGGGGTAAAACGGTAATTTGACCCAACTTGAGTTACGAGCATTCGTGAAGGATTGACTCGTCATTAATGGTCGTATATCCATGGACACGAAAACATTCTGCAGTGAGAAGAGTGCAACTGCGAGTCTTTAGTGGAATGACCCGTAGTTAACGAATCTTGATCAACTCGGTCAATGAATTTGACCAATTAATCTTGCATCGTTGGAGCTTCTGATCTGTAGGTCCATTAGGTCCCATTGCTAGCTCATAACGGGTAAAACGAGGATCAAGTTTTTGGAAGAATTTGAATTGTTCAAATTACTTAAGGGATTATATGTATATTGATACATTATAATATATAGCTAATTATAAATTAAAACTATATATTATGAGAGAAATTATTTGAATGAGATTCAAATAAAATTAATATGAATATGATTCATATTAAAACTATAGGTTAAAACTAATGTGCATAAGATGTACATTACAACTATAGGTTATGCGAGAGAAATGTTTTAGAATATGATTCTAATTTTATAATAAATAATTAAGTGTTAATTATTTATTTGATTTATATATATAGTTATTAATTAATTATTAATTGGATTAATAATTAATTATATTTATTAATTAATATGATTAATTAATAAATTATATATATTAATTATTATTAATTAATTAATAATATTAATATATCAATTAATAATTAACTCCCCTGCAACTCCCTGCAAAATTGCAGGGAGTGGGCAGTTGAGTGACGTGGGGTAACTCCCTACGTCACTGCTTTTTGTTCTTCCTTTTGCAGTTCTACAAAATACAGGTGAACAGAAGAAAAAAAAAGCAGAACTCCCATTTTTCTCTCTCGATCAAGCTCTCTCAATCAAACTCCCCCCCTCTCGTTCCAAAGAAACGCTCCCACAAGCGTGTTCTCGAAACCCAAGAGGATAGCAAGGAAGATCGTTTGGTGGTGTTTGTTGGGAAAAAATTGAAGAAACGATCTTCAAAGGTAATGGTTTCCCTCTGTATTTTCTTCTTAACGTTTTTTATTTTGTTTCCCAAATATCACGAACAACGGTCCGCTTCCGCTCCAGGATTCACATCCCTTCACTACTATCACTGCACAGCCTATTGTCGAAAATACTGCTTTACCTGACACAAATACTTTACCTAATGGATCTTTGAATGGCTCTTTATCTACTGGTTCTTTGAATGCCACATCTGAATCTAATGCTAATATTTCTTCCAATTTTGATGAGCCTACTGGTATGCTTTCTTCCTTACCATCCTCTTCAGTTGTTCATAATTCTCATCCTATGACTACACGGGGAAAGAATGAGATTTTCAAACCCAAAGTCTCTGTTGTGGATTATAAGGAAGTTGAACTTCCCGATGTTAAAAAGGCCTTACGACATGAACATTGGAGACAGGCTATGAATGAGGAGTATAATGCTCTTCTTCGGAACCACACTTGGGATTTGGTTTCTCAACCTTTAAATCAGAAAGTGGTTGGATGTAACTGGGTGTTTAAGATTAAAAGGAATTCTGATGGTTCCATTTCGCGGTATAAGGCTCAGTTAGTTGCCAAAGGCTTTCATCAGTCTACGGATTTGATTATTCTGAGACGTTTAGTCCAGTTGTTAAGCCAACAACTATCCGGGTTTTACTCACCTTAGCCTTAGCTCATGATTGGCCAATTCGCCAAGTTGAAATCAATAATGCATTTCTTCATGGTCTTCTCTCTGAGATCGTATATATGGAGCAACCTGCTGGTTTTTATGTCTCCAGCTCTTCGCCTCTTGTATGTCGTCTCCGGAAAGCATTATATGGTCTTAAACAAGCTCCCCGAGCTTGGTTTGATCGGTTGAGTGTGTTTCTTCACTCTTTGGGCTTTGTTAACTCAAAAGATGATTCTTCTTTACTTTTACGACATACGACCTCTCATTGCTGCTATATATTGGTGTATGTTGACGATATTTTGGTTACGGGTAGCTCGATGACTGTTATATCTCAGCTTATTTTTTATCTTCATAAGCAATTTGCATTAAAAGACTTGGGTCGCTTGAGTTATTTTCTTGGAATAGACGTTTCTTATCCTCCTCAAGGTGGTCTTCTTTTATTTTAATCAAAATATATTGGTGATCTTCTTCGTAAGACTCATATGGCTGAGGCTCGGTCTATTGCTACACCAATGGTAAGTGGCCCATTGCTATCTGCACGACAAGGTGAGCATTTTTCTGATGTTCATCTTTATAGAAGTATTGTGGGTGCCTTGCAATATGCTACTTTGACTCGTCCTGAGATATCTTTTAGTGTTAACAAGGCGTGTCAGTTTATGCACTCTCCCACTTTGATTCATTGGCAATTAGTTAAACGGATTCTGCGATATCTAAAGGGTACTATTGATCATGGTTTGTTCTTAGCCAAACCGATTACTTTCTCTCTTCATGGCTATGCGGATGAAGATTGGGCGTCTGATCCGGATGATAGAAAGTCTACCTCTGGCTTTTGTGTGTTCTTTGGTGGTAATCTTGTTACATGGGGTTCAAAGAAACAGTCTATCATTTCTCGTTCCAGTACCGAGGCTGAATACCGTTGTCTTGCCACTACTGTCACTGAGTTGGTTTGGTTATATTCGTTATTTACAGACTTACGTATTTCTCTTTCTACTCTACCAATTTTGTGGTGTGATAATCTTAGTGTTGTTCATCTTAGTGTGAATCTGGTTCTGCACTCCAAGACCAACATGTGGAGCTTGATATTTATTTTGTTTGTGATCTTGTTCTAAAAAAGAAACTATTGGTATATCATCTACTTGCTTCTAATCAGATTGCTGATGTGCTTACTAAGCCGTTGTTTGCTGTCAATTTCAATCGATTAAAGTTCAAGCTCAATGTTCGGGATCCATCCTCCATTGGCTTGCGGGGGGTGTTAAGACAGCTCACTGATATTCTCTAACGTGGCCATCTTATGTGGAGTTATTGTTTAAATTGAGTTTAGTTTTTTTGTTATTTCTTTAACAAACTTTTTACTCTCGGTAATTGCATTATTTTTTGTTAATAATTTTTAGGAGTTTTTATGCCTATCACATAAATAGTCTTCTCTGTAATTGCAATTGATGGAATGAGAAGAATCGATGGCTTTTCTCCTCCATCTGAGATTTTATCTGATTCAAATTCTTTCGTAATTTGATGGGTATTATGATCATATTGGGCAATGCTCATAGAGAATTTCTATGTTCTGGGAATTGATAGAAAAAGGAATTCTTGCGGTAGCAGAAGGTGAGGTTCTCACAAATGCACAAAAAAGACCTTGGATGATTAGAAGTAGAAAGATTTGAAAGCTAAAAACTATCTCTTTCAAGCTCTTGATCGCTCAACCATAGAAACAATTCTAAGCAAAGATACATCGAAAAGCATATGGGATTGCAGAAGTATCAGAGGTCTAATAGAGTCAAACGAGCACAATTGCAAGCATCAAGAAGGAATTTGAAGTCCTACACATGAAGGCAGGAGAATATGTGAATGAATATCTTGTTGGTACTCTTACCATTGCCAATAAGATGAAAGTTGCTAGTTCAAACACAGGTGATGTTAATGTTGTTTGAAAAATTTGGAGATCCACGACTCCTAGATTTAATTATGAATCTATGTAGTATATTCTATTGACGAGTCAAAGAACATAGATAATTTAACGATCGATGAGTTGCAAAGCGACCTGCTGGTGCATGAGCAGCATATGAAAGCTCAAGTTAAAGAAGAACATGCCTTCAAGATCACTCATTGTGATAAGCCACAAGGTCGAGGACGTGGAAGAGGGTCACGACGACAAGGACGGGGCCTATATTCTTTTGACTAATCCATAATTGAATGTTATCATTGTTACAAAAGTAAAGAGGAAGGTGTCAACTTTGCTGAGACTAAACATGAATTGTTGTTGATGGCTAAGACAAATGTGAACAAAGGCAATAAAGATGATGTATGGTATCTTGACTCAGGCTGCAGCAATCATATGTGTGGTAAGAAAGAATACTTGTCTGATTTAAATGAAAAATATAGAGCATCAGTAAAATTGGGAAACAATTCTAGCATAGTTGTTATGGGAACATTAGATTGAAAGTGAATGGAACATCCAAACTACTACTGAAGTTTTTTATGTGACTGAGTTGAAAAACAACCTACTAAGCATTGACCAATTACAGGAGAAAGGATTTGTCATTGTGTTTTAATTAGGGCTTCAAAAATCATTCAACATGATGACATGTCGTAAAAAACTTCAATAATCCTTTGTCCCACAGTCTGGGTCTATTTACAACTAGCCAATTAAGAATTCTCAGATGTACTAGTACTAGCAAGTGCATCTTTGATGCAGTCATCGATTCTCCCGAGAGGTCACAATTACCGCGAGCAAACATATTAATGACGATGAATACATTTTTGCTATTCTACTAATACTTGTACTTGCTCTGCTATTCTGCCCAAGCCTGGCTGAGGAAGAATTACGGGGCGTAAAACAAAAAAATATGCTGATTCGGGTTGGGTATACTCATGTCGTCATGTCAAATGGTCTGCATTTCTGTATGGTGGGAATATGTATTGACGATTTTTTATGTGCCTGAATTGAAAAACAACCTACTAAGCATTGACCAATTATAGGAGAAATGACTTATTATTCTATTTTAACTAGCGTTTCAAAAATCGTTCGTCATGATGACATTTCGATATTTCTATCAACATTGACATTTCAAACCTTTGTTTTAAGATGGTAGATGTAAGGTATTTCATCCAGAGAAAGACTTGATTATTGGATACTAAAATGCCTACAAATCGAATGTTCATTTTAGAAGTTGTTCTCAACCTATAACATCTGTTTGTGGTACAACTTTGGCATTGTAGATATGGGCATTTGAGCTTTGCAGGTCTCCAAACTCTCCAACAAAAATAAATGGTGTCACAGTCGTACATTTTTCAACCGCACGGTGCCATGATCTAAGCTCGACCATGGCCAGGCTTACGGGGAACTCTAGCCCCAATTCACTTTTTGTGCCCTTTGTGGCTTCATCGGACCTTAGGCGAGGTTCTTTCTTCCTCGACCGAGCTTCACTCCATGTTTCCAACCATCTTGGTCTCCGGTCACTAGGCTGTCTCGCTCCTACGATGAGTCAGGACCTTACCGAGACGGGTTATGACCTGTAACGGGATCAGAACGAGCTTAAAACGCCAACTGGGTACAACCGAGAGATTCTTGCCACTTAACTATGTCGAAACTAGCTTATCGGACCCATCGGACCCTTTGAGGTCATTCTTGCCGAGAAACTAGTCAATAACGGGCTAAACGACCTTACCGGATACTGTCGGGATGATTCCTACCGAGATCCGGACAAGGAATGACTAAACTTGGCAACCGGTATGAGTCTTGCCGCTTACTGGGCCAAGACTAGCTTTTTCTCACTTACCAGGTGCCCACCGATACTTTAGAATGCCACCCCGAGCATCGGGATGTCATCGGACTTTGCTAATTATTTGGGTACGCATACCGAGAATCAACCCACGAGTTTGTATTTATTATCGGGACCTTCCAGACA